TCATACAAGGGTAGGAAATGCAGCAGAAGCAGATTATTTTAATATTTACAGGCTTTCAATTTGCGGTGTTTCCCAGGCTCTGCTCAGAGCCACATTGCAGCTTTGCTGAGGAGGCAGCAGGGATGGGGACGTGGGGGCAGGGGGCAGGCAGAGGGGAGCCCGGGAGCACCCAGCGCCGGCTGTGCGCCCGTCTCCCGTTCACGGCCGGCTGCACGGCCGGCTGGGTGCTGATCCTCCACCCGAACCCCTGCAGATGTGTTTGGAGGTGGAGGCTCCCAGCAGGCAAAGTGTGTTGTGTTTTGTTTTTCTTTAAGAAGAGAAGTAGCCACATGAGCTGGGCTCCTTGCTTGCTGCTCACTGCCTCTTCTAGGATGGGGATTTCAGAGGATCCTAATTAGCAACTGACGGTTAAGGGAGAGTTTTGGCAAGTCCGTTTGCCCCTCTCTCGCCCCAGTCCTCAGCTGCTCCATCTCTCGCTCAAGCTGGAGCTGAGCGGCTGCTGAGGGGCTCCGTCTTTGCCTGCTCCCGGCAGCAGCCGGTGTGGAGGGCAGGACCCCGCACACGCGCAGCTAGCCAAAGCTGCTGGTGGATCGACCGCTGGACTGGGCAGCCTGTGCTGTTCCTGGGACTCCTGCTCATTTCTGGTTAAAGCAGCATCTGCTGAAGCTTAGAGAGCAAAGCTTTCGAAGAGCACCCCGCTTCACTGCTGCGCGACTCTGCCTGCATTCGGGTGAAATCGTCTCGGTTTCTCTTGGTGAGCAAATAAATGAAATCTTGGTGGCTTCTTGGACTTGGCAAATCTTAATGGGGAGGTAATGCTGTCCTTTGCTGAATATTCATGAGGAACTAATTTGTGCTTATGTTTCCAGATTGTGCTTCAGTCTGGGTGGGTTTTTTGTGTTGTTTTTTGTCTTGGCTTGCTCTGTTCAGCAGCCAACAAGCTGTTAGAAGCTTTGGTTTGACAATCAGGAGGGATTTGTAGTTCATCCTTCTGCTTTTCAGTTATATGTTAATTAGCCAGAGTGGGAAATGATTGGCAAGTCCCCTTTTAGTGGCCAAAAAAGCCGTTCAGTGCTGCGCTCCTTTTGGCATGGCAGCAGTTCTCCTGCAGGAGCGAGCCGTGCTCCGCACGCCGGTGTCTGCCTCAGCAATCGTTCTCAATCCCCAGGGAGAGCTCGGCACTCCGCACCCCCGGCATGGCCACATGCCCCTGCCTGCCCATGGGCACTGGCAGAGGAGGAGGCGCTCCCTGCAGGAGTTGCTGTCTGGCCTCCGAGCTCCTGCTGCAGAAAAAGCTATTCCATTGCTCCCCCAGGCATTTTCTTTCTTTTCACCCATCTTTGCTGCTGCAGAGATGACCCTCTGCCGCAGGATGGGCCGTGTCTTCCTGCAGGGCACTGCCCATGCGAGCTGGTGGCAGAGCTGCTGTGAAGGTTCCAGCTCGTGGTCTCCCTGTGGCCGCAGGCTTGTGGTCCTGCGGCCATCAGCAGGGGCACCATGGCCACCCACAGCTTGTGGTCTCCCCACGGGCTCGTGGTCCTGTGGCCATCAGCACGGGCACCACAGCCACCCACAGTGACGTTGCCTCTCCTGGGATGAGATGCTTATCTCGCCGGGAGCCATGCGCTCCCAGGCTGCTGCATCCAGAGGCGCGTCCCCCTGCCCTGCCCGGCACCGCACCCCTGCCTGCGAGCTCTGCGGTGCCTGGCCATGGCAGCACCGAGATCTGGTGGGCAGATGCTCCCTGCTCCCTTGCCCCGTGCTTTCCCGCAGCTCCTGGGGCAGCCGAGCAGCCGCCCAGCCGGAGAGCGGATGGCGGAGGGCAGGAGAGGTTTGTTCCTGCTCTGGGCTTGGAGCGTGGCTGCCGTCCCTCGTGGCCACTCCACCAGGGTGGGGATGGCTGAGTCACCCTACTTGTGCTGCTCGCCGGCGTCGAGAGGCAGGACAGTACGCCTGGAGCAGCGCCTCGAGCGCAGGAGCATGCTTCAGCCCCGCTCCTGCTGTGCCTTCAGCTGCTCGCCTGCGGGTCCTCTAAGGAGTGGGGCTGGCACCGTCCCTTGCTGTGTTGAGAGACAACCTCCATGGGGGTAGCTGAGCTCTTGTTGGTTGAGTTCGGAGCTAGCTTTCCATCACCGGGGGACTTCGGGACCTGCTGCCGGCGTAGCCATCCTCTCTGAGATGCAAGAAGACGGCAGCAGGAGAGGTGTGAGCTGCAAACGCGCAGCGCTGCATCGGCCGCCGGTGCTCTCGATGCAGCTGTGTTGTACTACACTTCTGTGGCCTTGGGGTTGGTGACTCCTCGTTACAGAAATGAAAACAAGCCTAGGTTCCTGGCTGCGTTAGGCATGGCATCTAATGGCATAGACAGATAATCCAGAAGTGTGACCTTACAGACATGGTAATTGCTGCTTCGCAAACGCTTTTGCTTCTCTGGGTTTGGATTTACTTATCAGGGGTGGTGTTAGTCACGAGGGTGGTGTTTTTGTTTTGACAGTCCTTCCTGGCATCGGTTCTGCAGCTGCAGTGCTGCTTAAATTAGGTTTCACTCTCAGAGCACTCTCTGCTCCTCTGGATTTGATGTCTGGATCTCTTTTATTCTGAGGCATGAATTTGCTAACGTGGAGTTACAGTATCCCTGATATTGCAGAGGATGATACCAGAAGATACACTTCTCTTCAGGGGTCTTGTGATTACAGGGTCTCTGTAGGGCCGTAGGTGTAATTACTGGGGTTAAAAGGTTTGCTGGTCTAAGCCTGCCCTACTCCATACAGTTAAATATAAGCAGGGATATTCGAGTCGGTGCCTCTGCAAGCGTTACTGCATTTTTCCACAGTAATTGTGCTTTCACAACAGCAACGTGCAAGGATTAGAGAAACAGGACGCTCTTGTGGGGTGAGAAATCCTTTTCGTAGGAAGGCAGCCGGCAGTAACAGTTGTCCGCCCTTTGTCTGAGGTGCCTCTAAGGAACCAGTGCCCACAAGCCTGGGTGCTGATGGCAAGCTGCTCCTCCAGCAAAGGCCAAAATGGCTATTGCCAGGAATATGAGTGCCTTTGTCCTTCTCTGACAGATGCTACCCATGATGGGAGCTCTGCAAGCTTCATGTGCTCCAGTAAAACAACCTATGAGTGTCTCCCTGTGTGTGCCCACCAGAAAATAACCTTTCTGCTTCCAGAGGGAATACAGCAGTAGCTGCCATGAGCAAGGGGCTGAGAAGACCACAGACAGTTAGGCAGGGGCTAACCGTGCTGAGCCAAAGTACCAGTTTGGGGAGCCCCCAGGCGTCCTGCTGTGTAGGACATCCCGTTAGACAGACTAGATAGTCCGTGCAAGTGAAACGGGGAAGCAAAACTTCATGGCAGGAGAAACGACTAAAGAAAGAGAAAGGATTTTATTTATGAAACACAGCTTCAAACTTTGTGGTCACTGCTGAATTCATGAGGAGAATAACTAATATCCACCAGTCTGGCAGAGTCCATCTGCTCTGTTTCGTGGTGGCATTGTTGTGTGTTTGCTTATTCATGAATTTCTGAATGGGGGCAAGAGAACAGGATTTCAGGGCTTTTGGGAGATAATTGTTGAAAGATACCATTAATTCTGCAGGAGGCTGGGACTTCCTAACTCTGCTTTCCACTTTCTTGAGCTTTCAAAAGCTAGACAGAGGATTTGGACATCCTATACATGCCCTGTAGTATGTATACACTAGTCCTCAGCTACTTGGAACTGGCATTGCGGCTGCTGCCAGGCTGGAATTTCCTTACTTTAGCAATTTAACTGCCTCTCAGCAATCACTGATGGCTCAGTTACCATCTGATGTGGGTATTTGTCAACCTGGCTTCTACTCATGGTTGTTTCTTGATTGCCACAGTGCTCTGTGGTTTCAGTGTCATTGTAAGGCATAAGCAAACGGCCTGGTCCTCAGCTCAGCTCCTCCCTGCGTTCTCTCTGGGTTTCATTGTCAAATGTCTCCTTTTGCTCTCATTCTAGACATTTACCCTTTCAGGTTTGTCAGTGCAAACAACTCTTTTTGCTATAGTGGTTCCTTCACAAAGTCTTTTTTTCTCAACAAATCAGTCCACACTTCATGTTTGCATGTCTGTGGTAGGCATGTTTGAGATGGACAGTAGAGCAATAAGAACCAGACCATCTGCAGGGAACCTCCAAGAGGTGAAGTCTTCGCATTGTGCATTGTAAAACAGCTGCTTGAGGCAGCGTTCCCCTGGGCTGTATTCGGACTGGGCACTACGCAGTAAAACTTGGGTAAGCTTTGAATGCGAGGTTTGTGATCTCTGTTTCCACCACTGCTAATAAAGAGACGATGAGTTCCCTCCCACTTATAACCCTTCTTGTCTTCTGCTTTTGTTCTGATGCTTTTCAGAAACACACGATAAAAACTTCAAAACAGAAAATTGCCAAACTCCTAACAAATCTTTTCTTATCACGGACATGTCTTTGACATTAAATTATTTGCCCAGTTGTTTCTGAACTATGTGAACAGCACATTAGCAAGCGGTGAATAGGTTTTTGATGTATTAGTATGTCTCGAGTTTACCTGACGTTGAAGAGGTTGAGAGGGGAATGATACCTTGTCGGTGGGGCTTTTGCTACAATGCTGACATGACAAACTACTTCAAGCGCCTTTGCCACCAAGTATTGCCAGAGCTTGGTCTTGAGGCATAACTGAATCCAGTGTAAGCAACTGACTGTGAAAGCAGAGCAAATGGAAAGTGGCCTCCTGTTCTGGTGGGTCGACCAGAAATTTTCCATAGGAATACTGAATTGCAGAAAAGGTCTTGGCGTTGTTGCATGTTCTTATCTGGAAAATGCCAATAACTGGTTCTGCTTCAACTCTTGCATCTACAGGAAAGAAAGAAAAAGTTTGAGAAGGATGGTGAGAAGTTTTATTCTATGCTGGATCGCCATTTGCATTTGTCTTCCAAAAAGAAGGAATCCCAATTACAGGAGGTGTGTATGGAGTTTTCTTCAGTTGGGTCCAGAATCAACACCACCAGCTGCTCTAGATCTTAAAAAAGGGGGGGAAAATCATCCCTTTCAGTAACCAGTTGAAACTGATAAGCAATTAAATCTACCTAAGGCCTATTCACATGGATGAAACCAGGGATATCGAGGTGGTAGTTCACTGTAAAGTGTCAAGCAGCAACAGTGGCTTTATGCATTGTCATCGCTTGTTCTCACCCTTACAGTATAAGGCAGTGACCAATTATACTGGCACAGCTGGGGATTGGCCACCCTTTGAACTGGCTTGGGGAACTGATCTGGCTGAAAAATAACTGGTTATTATTACTTTTGCCAGCCTAGTTTCCTGCCTAGCTCCTGGTGTTTGCAGGGGTAGTTGTGGCAGCAGGACCACGGTGGCAGCGAGCAGCAGGCAGAGGAGGGATGGTGCTCCTTCGAGCTGATGCTGCCACCAAACATGTTGCAACAAGAAGGGAAAGCCCCAGCTGCTCCAGCCCACATCAGAGTAGCCAGATCAAATCAGATCTGTCAAAACAGTTGTCAGATCAAACTACAAGCATTTTTGCAAGGCAAAATTTGTGTAAGCTGTGGTAACGTGGCATGCCACGTTGTCCTACCTGGTGCTGCAGCTCTGGAATTGCTGGTTTCGGGTCACAGCGGGAGTCAGGTAAGAGGATCATGAGAGTGGCCTTGTCCTCACTGGTGCCGAGCTGTGGGTGGAGAAGGAGCTTATGCTAAAATAACAAATACGCTTTGGGAAAGCCTTGTCCTTGCAGAGGGGAGTGAGGTTCTGGATCCATAAATGAAAGGAAGCCAGAAAAGGGCAGACCCGAGAAGAATGGCCAATGTTCCAGTCTTCTGGTTCTGTGCAAAGTGTTCAAAACCTGGGCTGGGCACCTTTGGCAGACTTTTTCTGAAGCGAGGACAAAACTATTTGTGGGCTGACAGGCAAATGCTAGTCAAATATTGTCAAGCTAGATGTGATGTATTTTCTTTTTTCACCTCTCCCTCTTTCTTCCAGGCTGACCTTCAGGTTGACAAAGAGAGACACAATTTCTTTGAGTCCTCCCTCGAGTATGTGTACCAGATCCAGGAAGTACAAGAAAGCAAGAAATTCAGTATCGTTGAACCGGTAGGAGCTTCATTTTCTTTCAGGCCTTGTTGTTTGATGCTCAGATATGTTGCCTTGCTGACAGTTGCAGGAAGGGATGAGTTACAAGGTTGGGTTTGGTCCTGGGGAGTCTTGTGATGGAGCAGGAGTTAACCTTGCACACTTGGATTGCTGCAGCTTAGTAGCCTTAGTGGTGTTTGCTGGAGCACCATGAAGCCACAAACTTGTTTCTCATGTCTGTAAGTCGATCCTGAGGAACAGGCTGGACGCTGTAGGTAGCTAGAGGTCTTGTTATGAATTATCTTGGACACCTCGTGTTTGGTTAGCATTAGCTGTCTTCAGAGGGAGAGAGTTGTTATCTGGTCCGCTTACCTGTCTGAGCATGGGCTGCAGTGGTACCAGCTCGTGGCTGTGTACAAGGACCCTGCCCTGGGTGGGTGTCTCTGCCCTGGCACCGGACATGGTTGAGCATGGGATCGTGTAGGTCTTGTGGACAAGCAATCTGCAGATCTGCTCTTGCTCTCCCAGCAGGGTCTTTTCATTTTGGGTGTGTTTTATTAAGACAGATGTGTGGGTGGTAGAACTGAGCTTTAGGGACATTGTGGTGGATAAGTCATACTAAAACTTGCATCACTCCAAAATTGTAAGGAAAAAAAAATTTGTATATGTAATTTCTGAAACTCTGTTTCCTGTCTATCTTTCCTCTGATCAGAAATATAGAAGAGAAGTTTAATCTGTGTCCTTTCCCTCCTTTGCAGGTACTGGCTTTTCTCCACAGTCTCTTTACTTACAACAACCTGACAGTTGAGCTCACGCAGGATTTCCTCCCTTACAAACAGCAGCTTCAGCTCAGCCTGCAGAATGTGAGTTCCTGCCCAGCTGAAGTATTTTTTGCATGTGACTTCTATTCTCATTTGTATTTAAACGCCTCTGGTGGCAAGGCTTTTCCATGCAAAACAGACTGTCCATGTTTGCATTGTGGGAGGTGCAGATAAAGTTATTTCCTTCTCAGTTCACTTGTATTTTCTCCTCTCCTGCACAAGAGAGTCTGCAGGTGCTATTATAGTGTTTTTCTCTGTCTAGAAGGGGCTATTGCAATTGTACCATTTAACCTTGTGCATAAACAAGCCTGAGAATTTCTTCTAATTTCATGAGATTGAAATTGTATACGTCTTCTAAAAAGGCCTCCAATCTTGATCTTAATAGTATCAGCTTACTACGTGCTTTGATAAGCTCCTCCACTGGCTAAGTATACTCATGCGGTAAAATATCTGTGTCCTGTTTCTTTTATCCTCAGTCTTTCATGGCTCGCCCTCATTCCCTTGTAACAACAGCCATAAATCTGTGCTAAGCTGAGTTTGCTGCTGGCTCATTAATTGGTCTAAGAGGTGTTCCTTAAAAATGCCCTGATTATGTACCCTGTGTTGACCTGACTCTTTAAAAATCATTTCATGCCAAGCAGCGTAGCGTGATCTTTTGAGGAATCAACACCCGTGTTTGTAGGAGAATAAATACACCTGCTTCCTTCTGCTCCACCTAGCCTTAGAATGTGCTAAGTTTCTTTTATTGAAAGGACAAGTGTCCTCCCAGTTATGACTCCTCAGCGCCATTTCCATGCACAGTATGTTAAACCTTGTCTCTTAGATCATCTTTTAAGAGTCCAGTGTTCTCATAGCTGTGAATTTGTGGAGTGGCTTCTGCATTTTGTACATTGGGGATGATTCATTTCTGCCATTTCTACCTAAAATTTGACCAGGGATACCTGAAGCTTGCTCTTTGCTCACGTTCAAATGTGCTTCTTTTTGTTTTCTCTTAACAGACAAGGAACCATTTTTCCAGCACGCGGGAGGAGCTGGAAGACCTGAAGAAGAGGATGAAGGAAGCCCCCCTAACCTGCAAGCTACCTGGGCAGCCGACCATTGAGGGCTATCTGTACACTCAGGAGAAATGTAATGGCTTTTATATGTACCTGAATGCGTTAAAGAACATATAAGCCTGGGCTGCCTGGCTCATAGCCCCGCTGCGTGGGCTGCGCTCGGCTCCCGTGCACCAGCTTTAGCCGTGGCGTTGCTGTGGGCTGTGCTGCACGGGGTGTCACCGCCTGCCAATGCATGGGGTGCCTGAGGAATCACCAGCAGCTGTAGCTGCCAGCTTTCTCAGTGGTGGCAGAGAGCTTTCTCTGGGTTACATGAGCCGTGTAAGCAAGGAGCTAATTGCCCTGCACTCAAATTAGATGAGATTTATTACTCTCTTGTAGCGCTGGAGAGACCAGAGCTCTGGCAGATTGCACCTGGGCTGTGTTTTATCAGAATGAATCTGGTGTCCTGCCCAGCTTCCCTCTCACAGCGTCTCTGAGGGCATCTGAGTACAGCTGAAGTGTTAACCAGCAATGAGAGTTAAGCTGCTGAGAGCGAAACTTGTGATTCTGTGCGGAATAAAATCAAACTAAATTCAGTCTTTTACAAATACTCACTCTAGCTTTATACGGCCATGCAAGCATGAACACTCAGGGGACAAAAGCCTGTATGCAGAGCTGTGGCCTCTGAGTCTACAGACAACTTACTTTGTGAGCAGTTAATTTTTGGATTATATATACAAATGTATTTATACATATATTTGTATGTATGTTTATCCTGCTTTTAAAAGAAAAAACATAGACAGTGATTTTAGACTACAAACGTTGCATGTTCCTGCATGCCAATGACTGTTTGCTGCCATTATTTATGTTTCCCTTATAAATCGAGTATGAAGAGAGTTCTTCCTCTTGACACTGCAACTTAAAAAAAAATTACAGAAAAAATAGCAGTTGAAGTATTTCATATAAAGGGGTTCAGGTAAGACAACAAAGAAAAGTGACAGTAAATCTAGTGTGATATAAATAGGAACTTTAGAGTGTTTTAAAGATGCTGTTGTCTTTACTGCCAGGTTTTCATCAACAGGAAAAAATAGTGGTGTCTGTGTGAAACAAGCATTCAAGACACGTAGGATCCTGCCAGTGTAGGTCTTGGCTGGACTCGGCCAAACCAGCTTGGCTTGCGACCAGAGTCCCAGAAACGCCCTTTCACCAGCAGCGTTTTGGGAGGGCGCTGGAAGCGGCTGCTGCCCTGTGCTCTTCTCCTCCCCTCCTGCTCCTCCTGGCCCTTGCCAGTGGAGATGCTGGCGAGGGAGGTGTCCCCCGGGGCCGGCGGTGTCTGTCCCCAGAGAAGCATGGACACGCGGGAAATGCCGGCTGTGCTTTGCCAGCTGCATCCAACTAAGGCGCTGTCTCTGACTCCAGCTTCCCGTGTGTTTCTGCAGGGGCACTGGGCATCTCCTGGGTGAAATATTATTGCCAGTATGAAAAAGAGGCAAAAACCTTACGGATGACGCCCATGGACCAGAAGCCTGGAGCTAAGCAAGTGAGTTGGTTTCTTGGAGGGATGTCTGCAAACATTGGCCCAGCCATCAGGTCTCACCTTCAATCCGCCCACATCATTTCCTTCCGTAAGCAAATAGACGTACAAGTGCCACGTCCAGGGTAGTAGAGGCCAGCCCCGCTGTTGGAAGCAGTTGTCTTGAGGACTGGCGCTACCAGACATGCTGACAGTGAGCTGGTCCCAACGCTGCGGCTGCGGCTGGGGGAGGGCTCCTGACCACAGAGCAGCGGGGTGGGCTTCGTGTCCCCTCCCTGCCTGGCCGCACAGGCAGGTGATTCGGTGTGACCTGAAGGAAGCACCTCTGTGAAGAGAAGTTTCACCTCCCTCTCTCCGAAATGACCCGAAGCCCTGCAGGGTGTGGCAGCAGAGACACAGGTTCATGTAACGTGAGCATTATTCGGGCAATGGTGACTTGCAAGTTTGGTCTAGCGTGAAATTTCTGCCTTTCTAGACAAGCTAATTTTTATATTTATCCATGCAAATGAGTGGTGAACCTGCAGCCTGGTTTGCACGTAGGCCTCTGGCAGTGATTGCAAGTACTTGAATTACTCGAGTTATTAGATGAGTGCTTCCAAAAGCAGTATTTCTCTGCCTTTGCATGTTCACACAGTCACTGGTTTTTGACTTCGATTTCTGTTCTCAGAACTGGTTAGGAGAGGAGGAGAGGACAGCAGTTGCAGCTCTAAACTGTGCAATAAGGCAACAATTTGGGGAACTGCTTCTTTCACAGAATGCTTTGGTTTTTACCAGTGAGTGAGGTGTCTGGGAGTTCCCTACAGTTCCTCGCTGTGACAGAGGAGGGGTAGGATGCAGGCGTGGATGACGGACGGTGGCTCAGAGTACAGCAAGTGCATCCAGCTGAGTCCACCCGCCCTCCTCTGCCATGGAGCGACGTCCCCCAGGGACTTCCCGGTCAGGCATGCTGTTCTCCAGTTCGTGATCTCATGGTCTGTTCTTTGGCAGCCCTCTGCATGCTGCAGCAATAAAGTAAAATGTATTTTTTGGAAGCCCTTGGCAGAGACGTTGGCAAAGAAATGTCCAAAACATTGACCGGGGAGATCTATTGTCATCTCTGCCGTAAACATGTCTAGTAAGGCCAATTAATGCAGGTAGGGGCTTGTAAAAATGTAAATTAGTCCCCTTCCCAAACTCTTGCAGTCTGGTAATGTGCACCTTCGGGTCACAGCTGGCCACACAGCTTCAAATGCCACAATTACAAGGAGTGCTCTTAAAAGCCCCAAACGACCAGCATGCACACAAAACACAGCCAGGAGATTATCATCACAGCACGTAAGCCGGACGTAATCTTGGAGGAGGGTGTCATTGCCCTGGGCTGTCCTGGCTCTGCTTGATCCACTTCTGCCAGAGGTCTTGCAGACGCAGCGGTGGTGACAGTCGGGGTGATGAACATGTTCCAGGTTTGCAGACTCAGCCCTAGGGTCTGGCTGGTTGTAAGGTCTCCCAGGTGTCTCTTCGGAGTTCCTGCAAAGTCATGGAGATCTCACAATCACATTACAAACTGACTCTGTAGAGTCAGTTAATGTCCCTTTAATAAGGGGCACGAACGCAAAGGGCCAGAGCTCAGTCCCGCAGTGCTGGCCTTTCATCAGAATGCATCTGGTGTAGATTTGGTCGGTTAACATTCTTTTTCTACAAGGTATTTTGTGTAAAGCTGTTTGGACCATGAATGCTATGGATAATTGGTAGCACTGATCAGCCCTGATAAAAATTAGGACCCAGCTGTGTCAGATAACAGAAAAGCATGGTCCTGGCCTCGTGAGGTTTGTTTATAGCAGTGTTCCTGCTCTGTGGGGGCATATTGCTTGTTGCTGAGATATTTAGCACTTGTTTGCAGGGTAGTGCCGTGAAGTCTAGAACATTTTGTGGCTGAGGAGAGGAAGCCTGGCTCACAAAGCCTTTGATCTCTGTCTTTGTTGATGGTGGGAAGGGCCGTCTGTGTTCCCGGTGCCAATGCCATCGGATTGGCAGGGCACCCACTGGGAGCCTGGTGCTCTACGGGCAGTGCCGTGTCTGGCTGCAGCCTAAGGGTGCTGAGGAACCTGAAATCTTCTCCCGTATTTCTTTCCTCTAATCTTGGCTTTAATTTTCTCTCCTAGGGCACCTTAGACCTGACACTGAAATCCTGTGTAAGGAGAAAGACTGACTCTATAGACAAAAGGTTTTGTTTTGACATTGAAACCAATGAAAGGTAAGATGCTTAGTATTCAAATGGCCTCCAAACAGATAAACCCTGTAAACCTGGATGAAATTGCGTTCTGCTGTTTATTAAAAACAACTTTTGCTTCATTTTCCTGCCTGTCCCTGGATGAACTCTGCGCAGGTCTGGGACCATCACGCTGCAAGCGCTCTCGGAAGCCAATCGAAGGCTGTGGATGGAAGCCATGGACGGGAAGGAGCCGGTAAGTGTTCAGGGAGCTGCTGCCCAGCCGTGAATATGCTGCCTAGCAGTGTCCTCTGCCGGTGAGTCCTGGGGAAGAGCAGTGACACAGCCACTGGCAGGCTCCTTTTTACAGCTGTCACTTCACTGCTGTTGCTTACCCGTAATTCAGGCATCAGTTTAGCCACTGCACAGCCGAAATGGGGTTTTGTGCTGTTCTGCTCGCAGTATGGCTTGCAACGGGGATTTTGGTTTTTCCACCTTTAAAGCTCTGGTGCGTTCCCTAGTTGTGCAAGACTGCCTAAGGACTGTGGCCTTACTGGCTCTGGAACACTCGATATTTCTGTTGCTCACAACTTGCTCTCCAACCTGCGGGAGGTGATTTTTTTTGTCTGTCCCTGCTGTGAGCAGCGTTTGGAAAGTCTGGCCCATGGGAGCAGCCACCCTGCACCAGTGTTCACCCGCCTTTCTGTGCCTGCTGGTGTTTCCTTCCTTCAGACTGAACAAAGCACAGACAGCGTGATGTGCAGTGCAGGAAAACCCATTTCTGGCAGCTCCCCTTGCCTTTGGAGAGCTGCCTTTCCCTCGGTGGGCTCGGTGAAGAGGGCTGGCAGTGAGTGCGCTTGCTGACCTGCTCAGGGCTGTGTGGCTGCTGATGCGGAGGTGGGACGTGGGAGCAGGGAGATGGGACGTGGGCACCCTCTGCAGCACTTTGCTGCTACTCGTTTAAAGAGGAAAGGACGTGGGATAGTGTGGAGGGTCAGTGTGCTCGTGCTGGGCAGCCAGTCACTTAGGGGATGTCTGGGGCTCAGTTCGTTTGCATGACGTTATTATGTATAAAGGATTTTTTATTTTCTATCAAGAATGGCACCTGCTCTTTATTATTAATAAAAAAATACAAAACTTATTTTTATATGGGATGAAGGAGTGTCTTGACACTTGAGTTTTTAAAAACAAGCAAACGAACAAAAAACCCACAACCGCTGTGTGCCAGACTGTCCAGCTGCCGTTTCTGCAGGGCACCTAAAGGACAAAGTTTCCTGTTCAGTTTTTGGGAGACCTCTTTCCTAGAAACAGGTGCTCCAGTGAAATGTAGGAAGTCAGCAAAAACTCATTTATTGTGTAGATAATGGTGCCTTTCTTAATTATAAAATGATATTTCTTTGGGACATTGTCTTACTGTTTGTGATTGGCTTTGGGTGATTTATGGGGTGCTGCATTTTCTTTCGAAAATAAATATCGAATCACGTTGCGCTATGTTTTTGTTCTTCCTCCTCCATTCCCTCCCCTTTTTCAGATCTACCACAGTCCCATCACGAAACAGGAAGAAAGTGAGTCATTTCTGTTGCTGTTCTCTGACCTGTCGAAGCTGTCCGGAGGTCAGGCAGTGTATTTCCTTGTAGACACACTCGTCCTCGATTTCTGCTGAATAGGCTGTGTATTCCCTCCGTGGCGGCAGTGTAACTTCTTTCCTTTTCATCACAGTGTCTGATACTGAGGCCAGATAAGAATGAGTTGCAAACGGTAAAAGTTATCGATCGCAATGTGCAGTTTTTATTTAGCAAGAACTAGCGGGATGCAGAGTTCAATTTGCACCTCTAAACCACAAAATAACAGGGGAAAAAAGATCAGTGAGACATTTTGAGGACATTTCCCTTAGCAAAGATTATGATAGGAAAATAGAGGTGGCATTTAGTTCCCTGGAGCTCCCATCCCACCACCTTGTCCCGTGTCTCCCCTTTCACAAGCGGGGCGTACCCTGCCCACCACCCCTGCAGCCCCCGGTGCAGGCTGCCGCCCCTCTTGCCCTTCCCCGTTTACAGCCCGTTACTGCAGTGGCTGAGCGTGCTGCCCTGGAACACTCTGGGGCTTCATTAGCTGGGTGAAAACTTGCATTCTGTATCTTAGAGCTTACTTTTATCAGCATTTTAATTAACTGACTTTAATGAGCATAGAGGTAGCATTATCAGAGGCATAAGCATGAAACCTGTTGTTTGACTGTGTTTGTATTACACGCCTGGAAAGAACGCGTGTAATGTTCACAGTGTTTCACAAAAGTAAATACACTCTAATAGATTAGAGCTAGAAAGACTTCGAGTCGTATTATACCACTCGGTACCAAGTACCGAGTGGATCTGTGCTTAATGGTGTCTTACTCATTCCTACGTTAGAGCTAAGGTATGTCTGAGCTTTTTGTCACTGTTGCTCAGAGAAGAGAGAATCGTTATAAATGACTTGCTGAAAACACAGCGATTTCATAGGATTCACCAACATGGCCTGTGCTGTGGCTGGAGTTGGTCCAGATGTGTCCTGTGGCTGTTTTTTCAAGTAGAATGTTGTTCTATGTTAAAAAAAAAACCAAACAAACACCACCCCTCTAAAAAACCCTACAACTTACACACACCACCCCCCCCCCCCCCCCCAAAGAAAAAAAAACCAACAACAAAACCAAACCTACAACAGCATGGTCATTTGGTCATTTAGGAGAAATTCAATATAAATGTTTGCACTGAACAGAAAGGTATTTCCCATTATAACTTGGACAATCCTTCCATATATCCCAGAAAAATTAGCAGAAGTAGTAGTGTGATTACAGAAGATGAAATATGTGTATAGAAAAAAATCCTGACTTTCTACCTGCTTCATGATGCCTGCAAAGCAGGCACAGAGATAGTCTGTGGTTAATTGGCTGGAACAAAAACCCGTGTTCTGCTTTACTCAGCATATCAAGCTGTATTGTTTTTGCTTTTTAATCTAGTCAAGTAGATAAGCAGAAATTACACGATCCCATGATGTGGAAGAGCTTTAACTGCAGATTTTGCAGTGCTCTGGAAATGATTAATCAACTCCTTATCAGACACAAATTCACATGTGGCGGGACTCTGATTTACGCTTTTATTATTAAAGACAGAAAGGGGGTAGGGAGCAATGCTGTAACTCAAAATAGACTTGAGGAAAAGTGGAGAACATATGGGACTAATAATTCCTTGTCAGGATTTAAAGAATGCCCGTGTTTTCATGGAGGGATGTACACGATGCAGATGCACGTGTGAACCCGGCTCTGCGCTGGGGCACTGCAGCTCTGTGTGCCGAGCAGGGTCTGGGTATGGGGCCTTCCCAGTAGTTTTCCACGGGGAGCCGCGTGCTGGTGCTCAGGCAGCTAACACTGCTTCCCTTGTTTGAAACAGTGGAGCTGAATGAGGTCGGCTTCAAGTTTGTACGGAAGTGCATCAACGCAGTGGAAACGAAAGGTAAGGTGCCCGCCATGGCATCAGGAGGTGCCGCCGTCCTGGCACGCGTTGCTGCCCGCGGCCTGGAACTGTATTGCATTTTCTGCGGCGTAGCGCTGTTAGTTAAAAGTCAAAGTCTCATGTCATTGACTGAAGAACGCATGTCAGAGGAGCAGAAATCCTGCACGGTCTGGAATGTTGTTACACCAAATTCCGGTTAGGATTGAATTTCCACCTTCATGCTGTTTTCATTCATCGGTTGGCTCTGAGAAAACTCATTGTTAGGCAGAAGGAGAACAGCTCTGGAAGTCTCTCTGTACTGGGGGCACAGGCAGGGGTTAACTGGGGTACTGGGTTATTCAGACCCATTTTGTTAAAAGCAGTAGGACAGAAGCAGGCTGGTGGATGCTAACTCACCCTCTGGTCTTTCATGAAACGCCCAGCTTGTACCAGTGTACGTCACTGGCATGGGCTATAGGACAAAGATAAATCACTCCAGAGCAGCTGGATCCCCAGGCTGCCGCAGGGAAAGGTGGCAGTGGCTTCATTTCCAGAACCTTTGGGGGATGTGGCCAGCCAAGCCCCGCTGAAGTGGGGAGGAGCAGGGTAATGAGACCCTCCTCGCAGAGCCGGGCAAATACAGCAGTTCTGTCTTTCCTAACATTAGCTAATATTTTCAAAGAATCTGCTTAAACGTGTTTGCCTTCTGTGACAATTTGAACAAATTCGTGTTAAAGCAGCACTCTCCAGAAATGGAGTATTTAGGCAGTAGGGCTTGCCAGCTCGAGCACGTATTCCACGCGTTGGCTGTGCCCGCCTGACCATGACACGACCCCAGCAGCAAGTACGTGTCCCGGCTGTGCCGGTGGCCGTGCCCGCCGTGGGCGAGCG